CTTACATGAGTGAGCATAATAAAAATGTTATGTACCTTTTCTCAATTAGTATACTAGCCCTCCTATTAAACACACCATTCTGCAGACAATCACATAATCCTGCTCCAAGCTACCACCAAAACAATGGGTTCTATATATGGAGCCAGAGTGCAGACAATGCAGTGTACAGTTATAATTTTTGAGATTTGTTTGCTTTGTAAAATAATCCATAGTATAAAGAGGCTTGACCTTGGTTTAATATTTAGAATTTCCAGTTAAACTGGCAAATTATTATATTTGTCTTTCAATGAAATATAATATATTCCTGGTTAAAACCAGATAAATCTAATCTGCCATTGGGAAACTGCTTTGTAAATTTGAAAACAGAATTTTCATTGATTAACTTATTGAATACAATTGAAAGTTAAGCATATACTATGCTGAAATTGATAGGTATTTAACTACACAGATAAACATAAAAGACACATCCATTTTCATTGGAAATTGAGGAAAAGTGATCTTTGGGATATGTTGCTATTTTCAGCTAAGGAGTAATAGCACAATGTATGTGTATTTTACATTAATTGTTTTAATTAAGCTTGTTAGTATTTGTATGCTCAAAAATACATGTATTATAATTCTGATGATTTGGAACATATAACAATAAAATTCTGCCTTACAGGCCATCCCAAAGAGATTAAAATTATTCAATTTTAATGAAGGACAGTGTTAAATTAGGACAGCTAAAATTCATATCCTGAAAAGCTTCATGTAATATGTTGATATGAATTTAATGTATTGCAAGCCTTTTTTTAATAATTCTATTTCACTGAATGTAAAAACTAGTGTATTCTAACATACCTATAAATTGTTTTGGAAAACAAAAACATTCTCTATGAATTGTGACATCACTATTATTCTTGCCTATGACAATTCATTTTGTGTATTTCTAGGATTTCTCATGTGCAGGATTTCTTACACTTTGTTTTAGAATTATCTCTAGTATGAATCCAGGGTATATTGTAGTATATCTTGCCACATTTATATTTGCATATGCCGTATTTCAGTTGTTCTGGCTTTTTTCACATTTTTTAATATGTCCAAATTCATTTTTGCATTTGAATTCAACAAAACAAAAATAACAGCTCCATATTTTCATTTTGAATAAAATGTCTTCAATTAAACATAAAATGTCAATGCTTTGCTTTTTTACATATATACATAAGCACTGTATTTATAAAATATATTATGATATCATTGTACTGTAAATATTGGCATACTGTTCTCTTACATTCCATCTTAGGGCAGGTCCTTTTCCTGGAGCTTTTCTACCATATTTGTAGCAGAAGCAGTAGAACATATGATTAAAGTTAATTTGAAATTTAAAAGCAAATCTGCATTTCCAGTGTGCAAAGCTGTGATGGAAAATATGTTCTTGGGACATTGTTGATACATCTAGAAAATGCAATGTGAGTGGAATAATAGATACTGCTGTTATCCCAAAGTACTATTAAATTCTTTCTGCAATATGTTTTTTGAAATGAAACATTTGTTGTAATGTAATATTTGAATCTAATAGTGTGCCTTTCTCTAAAAGGTGCTGTTCAAAATTAACTTTTATATTTCATTTTTATATATGCTTTTTATACTATAAATACTCTGCTGATAAAAATTTTATTTTTAGAAAAGTAGTGTCTTGACATACTGTATACATGCATCAACTTTGCAAATTTCTGCTTGTAATACCTGATAGTAAATTAAATTTATGGAGTGTTGTACAGATATATTTATGTTTTGAAATCAGTTTTCTTTAGTGTACCATATGTTAGGATAATAAAATGTAAATTCAGTGACTTAAATCAATATAATTTGTAATGTTGAAAAAAATGATTGCTTGATTTTCTGTAATAACAGGGAATACAAAATTTCATGATATGCTATTTTTTTCATTATTGCCCAACATTCATATTTTCTAATTACATTAAGAGGAAATTCACATGGTGATATAAACAACTCAATAATCTCAGAAAAATAGAATACTATAGTAAAGGATTTAATTTTAATGGAGTTTCCATTCAAAAATTGTTTTAGTTGGCAGTTTTATTATCACATTTCCATAAACCAGTATAGTATTTCTGTAGAGAAATATAAATTATAGCATATAAATACTTCAGACTAAAAATAAAAGGATTTTTTTGTTGTTTTTTGCTGTTGAGTGGCAAAATTTAGGCATAAAAACCCATGGTCTGGTTTACATGAACAGGCCTCAACAATATTGGCTCCTTTATCTGCAATCATAAGGAATTTTCATCTTTTTCCCCTAAAAATTAACTAAATTTTGATACAGCTAAACTTTGGATAAAGACAGACTTCTGTTAATATAAATGTTCTTTATAATCTCTATATAAATGATTTGCACATGTGCAGATTAAACAATAGGAGTCTGCCTATCTTCACCATACATGTAAAAATGTCATGATTGCTGCTTAAATTACTTTTCAGCTACTGTAATTGAACTCAGCAACTTAAGAATTTTGATCCTATTTTATTTGTATCGCCTTTTGTATCTTGTTTCTATTCAGTTTACAATCTCAAAAATAGCTTGTTTCATTTAACTCTACAGATTCTACAAATAAATTACGGTAACCTGACATGTTTCTCTAAGAAGGGTAGCACTCCCACCAAAAGTCACTCATTTATTTTGCACTCTTTTCATTTTTTACTACTGCCAGGCATGATTGGGCATAATAGGATGACTGATTTTTTTCCCCATATCATGAGTCTCAATTTCCTGTTTGGATCCTGAAGTTGCTTTAGTTAGTATTTTCAGTGTAAAAGATAGTTAAATTTAATAGGTTCAAGTAATGTTTATGTAGGTCAGACACACTATGTGTCTGCAGTGAAGAACATGTTCTTAAGAATGTTCTTAAGTTCAGTGCAAGAAAAGAAAGGGGTCTCTCCCAATTACTACTACCATGAATCCACCTGCTGTTGACTAACCAACTACAATGGTACCAGTCATCACTTCCTCTTATATTAATATTCCTAATGTTGAGTTGTGCCAGAATTTCATAATTTTTTTGTTTTATTTAACAAATGTTATATAGGCAGAAATTACAAACAATTGATAGTGCCCTTATCAATTGACCACCAAAAGCTCTTAAGTGCAGATTTAGTTTAGGTATTTCTGATTTAGGTTACAACTATTTTCTCCTCAGAACTGAAACTGCAAAAATGGAGGTGGTTTGGTATTTTGGGGCAAAGCCATTTGACCAGTTTTGATAAAGCAAATAGGAGGGTTAAATAGCAAAGATATTTTGATACAAATAGACCCTGTCTATGTAGCACTCAATAACTACGTATGTCTGTAGCTTTTGCTTACTGAAATCCTGTATAAAATACCACTGTTATTAGATCACTATTCTGCCAGAGGCAGGTTTTCTTTCTATGTTAAATGTTTTTTCTTCATATCTTTATTAATTGCTTCTCATTATTTTTGAACTGTTCTTTGTACATTTTAAAAACAGAGTAAACCTGGAAAACAGGTATGTACACCTGAACATTTTGAAGAATTCATGCACTCAATAATGGCCATTTGGAATATCACTAGTTTTACCCCATGGAATTGGCAGTTAGGTTCATTCAACATACCACAGTGAAATATGGTTGATTATCCCTCAGTATGTTGTGTAAACCCAAACACTATGGTAATTTTGGCTTGGTCTTGTGTGCAAAGCCAGAAAAATTAATAAATGGATAAACAAGTATTCCATTTTTTCAAAAAGTTGAGCTAGCGATGAGTTATCTACTTATACATAGCTTATGACTGTGAATGACAATCACAATGTAAGCAATCACATTTAGCCTAGAATGTTCTGCAAGCTGTTCCCCTGCAATTTATGATTCATTGTGTATAGCCAGCAAATGAGGTTAGGTAAAATAATAATATACTCCCAACTCCCAGCAACTGGTTAATTTCCAGCAATACTGGAATACATATAAAATCAATAATTATGGAAAAATACATGGATAAAAATACTGGACTTACTCAACAGAATTTGAATATAACTTCCTCTGGCTCTCTTTAATTATATACTGTTTTTTGTTGTATTGCATTAAACTCTTAAAATGTAACACATTGTTCCTGCATAAAGGATTCTATTTCAATCAAAAGAATGAGTCCCTATTCCAAGCCAGGATACTTGGTTGTGTCAGTTGATAGCATAGCAGAGGTACAGGTTAGCTCTATTGTTTCAATGTATTTTCCAGTCTCAGTGAATCGTGGATTTGTATTTAATGGTTAAGGGATAGTTGAGACAGTGGGGAAAAGTTAAATTTGGGATAATAGTAATATGGAATAAAGAAAAAATCGAATCATTATTATCGTTGTTGTTGTAAATTAAAATACTGTCCACAAATCCAAAACTGGATAAACCTAATTCCAAATCAATTGGATAGAAAGCTTGGCCCTGTTTTATCTCCTCTGAGAGCCCATTTGGTTTTATCAAAGATACGGTGTATGTTATCTCTTCCCCTTCCCCATCACCGCAATCTGGTTTTGCACGTCCACATCTCAGTTCCACGGTTAGCGGGCAGGCAGCACACTTAACGTGCACACTCGGCTTTCCGTGGTCTATCCGCCTCATTTCTCGGTTTCAGTAAAGATCCGCAGAGCGAGTCAGAGGTTAACGGAGGAGAAGCGGGCGACAGCTTCAGCGAGGAAGCCTCTCTTGCCCATTTTCTTTTCCCTGGGACGCTGAGCCGAGCAAACTGGTTCTTGTCTCCCTGCGAGAACTTACGACGGACACCGCTTTGCATCCCGGCCGCCGTCCACTCGCTCTCGCCGGGCAAATCGGCGCCAATACCCGTCACCGAGGCAACGCGGGAGCTCCTCCTCCTCCTCCGCTCTCCCGTTAACCTTCGGGGCCAGTTCTCGCGAGCCTTGCCAACTGGAGGCGCCGCCATATTGTGTGACACTATTTTGATTTAGACTTGGCTGGCTGAGACACGCAGCGAGCGGAGGAGGAGGAGGGACGGGAGCGACTGGGAAGCCGGAGCGGTTCCAGGCGAGGTCGGGAGAAGTGCTGACGGCGGTGCCTGAAAAACCCTCCCCCTCTCCCGCCGCCCCTTACGCGTTGCCCGCCAGAGAAGAGCAGCCCCGGCACGGACACACACACCCCTTGCTCCCTCCCCCGGTGGCAGCGGGAGGCGGCGACGGCTCCGGAGTGGCTCGAAAGGGTCGCCTGTCTGGCTGGAAGTGGCGGTAGCGGCGATTGCCGCTGCTGCGGGGCACGGAGGAGGAGCCCGCGCGGAGGAAGGGTAAGTGAAGTCGGCTCTGACGGGGCTCTGGCGGCCGCTCCCCCGCAGGGACTGTCCGTCAGGCGGCCTGGAGAGAGCGCGGGATCCCCGCTGCCTGTTTGGGCTCGGCTGGCCGCGGTGCCCGGGAGCAAGAGAAGGGGGGGCGTGTGCAGGCAGGGCCGGGCGGCGGTGGCCCCGCTGGGGAGAGGAGGAGCCGGGTTGAACTTCCGCGGTCTGCCGGGGGAGCTGCGCCGTTGGGTCCGAGGGCTGGGACTGCCGACCCGACTCCTCCTCGGAGCCCTTTCGGAGGCGTCCCGGGAGGCGAGGGGCCTTTTTTGGCCTCCCTGAATTGGAAAGATTTTCAGTTTTCTCTTGGGCGTCGGATCTGCTTGTCTCTGTGCTGCTTCTCCTTCTTCCCGAAGAAGAAGAAGAGGTCCCGCTCTTGACTCCCGACTCTCCCAATTTAATGGATGTAGGAAATTTGGACTGATTGTATGTATACCTTTAGGTGTGTTTTGTTCTCTTTAAGAAATATATAGGCTATCTAGAGTGCTTATGGTAAATACTAAAAATGTGCCATTTTTAAGACTCAAACATAGCATGAGCAAAAACTTATTTTTTTAAAGGGAGATAAAAGAATATCTACTCACTGGAGAAGAGCCTAATGCTGGGAAAGATGGAGGGCAAAAGAATGACAGAGAATGAGGTGGCTGGATGGAGTCACTGACTCCAGAGGATGGTAGAGAACAGGAAGGTCTGGAGCAGTGTTTGTCAACCTTGGCGACTTTAAGTCCTGTGGACTCATAGGACTTAAAGTCGCCAAGGTTGAGAAACACTGGTCTGGGGGTCATGATCGGTCAGACACAACTTCACAAATAACAACAACAACAAAGGAATATTTACTTGTTAGATTGATAGCCTGCATTTTTAAGGAGCTGGTGTTGATGCTCATAGCACTCAGTCATCACATTCTTTTCCTCCATATCAACATCCACAGGATAGATTGGAATTGGAAAAGAGAATGGCTGGACCAAGTCACCTGGTGAGCTTCCTTAGCTGAAGGGGGGGGGGGATTGAAGCAGGGTCTTCCAAATGTTAGTTTCTGCAGCTTAATCACTATAAAATAGTGTCTGTTCAGATCTGTGGTTTAAAAGCTCTACAGAACAAAATAAAGCTTTCAGATGCTAGGATGAGTGGAAAGGCGGATTATTGAAACAGGAAATTCCAAACTTTTGGCTGAGAAGGCCATGTTTAGTCAGCAGTCGTATCAAGCACGATCTGTTAGTAGATCCTAGTGATTAATTGGGACATCTGGGAGAGATTGAGCACAAGTCTTAATTGTCTTAATATATACTATGTCCTCTAATTTCAAAACTTGGTTGGGCAGTATTTACCTAGTAAAGTTTTAAGTATTGCTCATTTTATTAGCGTACTAATGCTCCTGGATGTGAGTAAGGTGTACGTGATGATGACTAAATCTCCAAAACTCTAAGCTGAATGAAAACATCCCTGTGCATAATTGTTACATCAGTGTCAGAAGCAAAGTACTCTTAGATCTTAATTTTCAATAAGAGCGCAGCTTTGTCAAGGCTATTACCTACATTTTGTGTCTCCATTTCTGCTGAGCAGTAGAACATTCCCAGATTTAAGAGGCTTTGTTTTTCTGTTCTCAATTACCAGTTGAGAACATATCTGGGTTTCCTAAAAACTTTGACAATAAAGATAATAAAAATTAATAATGTGGCAAAGATTATGGGATGTCTTCCAAAGATTTTTGTGCTCAAGTCAGGTTCAGCCAGCATGGTCTCAGATCCAAAAAGTACAGTATCTACTTCTGTAGTAAGAACTTTCAGGAGCTGTTTTTGTTGCTATTTCTTGCAATATAACCTTCTTCAAAGAATCACAAAATGTTGCTAATATCACACTTGATCACAATGTAGCTGTCTGAAAATTGATACTTATTTTAAAAATCAATATGAACATGTTAATGTTTTATCTTCAACCAAATATAATAGTGTTCTTTTGAGATATGTAAGTGGGGTTTTTTTTTCACTATATAGCTTTACATTTTCTTTCTATTGGGCTTAAGTAAAGTGTAAAAAAATGGTACCTTCAGTGTTGCTCATGTCTTCATCATTGTTAAATTTCCAATTAGAAAATTTTATGATTTATTTTAGCAGTATGTTAAGCATATTTTATCAGATTTTCCTTTGTATATGTATTCTGCTTAGTATAGCTACTTATAGATGAAATTCTTATTACATACAGGTAGTCCTTGGTTTACCAGCACTTATTCATTGAACATAAAATTATAGTGGCATTTAATGAGCAGATTATGGCCAGCCCTCAAAGTTGTGGCCATCCGAGTATCCCTGGCTGCATTTGGTAGCCAGTTCACAATTATGATAGTTGCAGCATATCGTGGACCCATGATCACCATTTATAACCTTCACTGCCATCTTCTAATAAGCAATGTCAATGGGGACACTAGCAGGAGATCGTAAAAGGTGATCACATGACTTCATTCCTAACTATCACATGGGATTCACCTAATTGCAACTGAAATAGTTGGAACTGCCATTGTAAGTCAGCACAGTCATTACATCACACTTTACTACAATGACACTTATTGACTCAGTTCCTAATCCTAATAGTCCCTAATAGGGATTATACACTGTCTGAATAGACCAGATCTGTCAAACTGGTGGTCCGTGAGCCGGATGTGTCCCATGCAGGCCACGTCCATCCCAGCTCCACCAAGGGAAAAATAATCAGGATATGTCACAATATGTCATGTGATTACGATCAAGTTTGACACCCATGGTATAGACTTTCATTCTTACATTTTGGAGTGATTAGTTGATTTAATTTTATCTAGCTAAAAGTGATTTTTATTTATATAAACATAATTTTTTATTATGTTATTAGAAGGTTTGTGCGCAGTAGTTTTGTACCTCTTGGGAGCCTTGTAAAGTAAAATTCTCAACAATTAATATTGACATGTAATCTTTAATAGCTGTGTCCAATATAAATGAGTTTTCCTTTTACTTAACCATTCCAAATAACTTAGTTATCTTGGAATCCCTTGTCTTTGAAGATATGACTTTGTGGCAGAATGAAATTATTCTCAATAGAGTATCTATCAAAGTGGATTAATAATAAGAGGATTTCTCCCTTCCACTATCTTTTAAAGTGGTAGATACCTCTTCTTTTGAATTTTTACTCTGACAACTTTTTATCTTGAATTTACAGAAGGTCTTCATGTTTTTTCCTAGCTTTATGTTGACCATGAGTCTTGTGATGATAAGTGAGAATGTGAAGCTAGCACGTGAATATGCGTTGCTTGGGAATTATGATTCTGCAATGGTTTACTATCAGGGAGTACTTGACCAAATAAGCAAATACCTCTCTTCTGTCAAAGATACGTATCTTCAGCAGAAATGGCAACAGGTGAGCTTTCATTTTTTGGTTTTGTTCCTTTACTTTCATGTATTAAATAGGATTATCAACCAAAACATTTCAATTAATCCTCATTTTAAAAGATGAGCTAAATTGAATAAACATGCCTATTGCTGAACACCAATGAATTACAAGTGACAGTACAAAAATAATAATAATTAACAAAAGCTGCTATTTGTGGTTGGAGAGAACTCTGTTTAAAAAGTAAAATAAAAGTGGCTTCAAAAACACTACCTTCTGCATCCTGTTTGATTAAAAATATTACTTGGTTAATCTATCTTGAGCTGGTGTACTTAATTTGGAAATGTGCCATGTATATGTGTGAGCATTTTTTAAGACTGTGCCACTTCAAATTGTGTTATTTTTAAAAGCATTCATACATTATACTTTTTCCCCCTAAAATCCATTAAAGGTTTCCTGCAAGAATCATCAGCACAATTGCTTCTCTGTAATAGGCTTCATTAGTTTTCTATAATGTCTTACACAGTTAACAACTTTTTCATGTATCTGAGCCACAAACATTTCATTAGGTACTTAAAGTTGACAAGTTTCTACAAGCTAACATTATGCTTCTTTGTATTTCATGTTTTTAATCAGGTTAGGCAGGAGATAAGTATAGAAGCTAAGCATGTGAAGGATATCATGAAGACACTAGAAAGTTTTAAATTAGACAGCACTCCTTTAAAAGCGGCACATCAGGAATTACCAGCTCATGATGGAGAAGTTTGGTCGTTGCCTGTACCTGCAGAACGTAGGTAAGAGACACCATGAGGGGAAAGCTTATTAGGGTGTTCAAATATAAAATGTTTAAAAAGTATGTTACATGTTGTTTTTGAGCTTCTAATCTGTAACCCCAGAAGCATTCAGTGTTGTCTCCTGCTCCCATTAATGGAGCTCCAATGAACAATTGATTGAATCTGTTTACTAAACACAACTAGTATGTGAAAAAACAATGATATGCAATTATAACACATTTGTACAGAACATAGATTCGGGGAGATTAAGGTGTATAATCTTTAATATATTCAAATATTCTAGGATAAGAATACCTTATCATATTTACAATTTTCCCCATTTTGTATTCATTCAGAACTTCACCAGGGCCTAGGAAACGTCAGTCAGCTCAGTGCAGTGATTGCAGAAACCAAAATAACCGAGCCGGAGCAGCTGCTAGAGTCCTTCATCGGCCTTCTTCGCGAAATACTAATGAGAAAGGCAAAGTTGTTCGTGGTCGGGAAAAGAAAGATCCATTAAATAAAGTAAAAGAGGAAAAAGTAAGTTTCGTGAATGTGAAACCAATACCTCCAAATTAAACTCAATTTCATTGAGGGCCGCATCAGGGTTGTGTTTGATCTCAGGGGGCGAGGGATGGCCGGCTCGACGTCACTCGTGTCTGGTGGCCCAAACACTCTGACATTGAAAATAGGCTCCTGAGCTTCATTTTTGGCTATGACGGCCTCCTGCACCCTCTGGCAGCAAAAATAGAGCTCAGGGGGACCCTCCTGCTGCCCTCCTGAACTCCGTTTTCACTGGCGCCAATCCTCTGCTGTTTCCAGGGCGGCCCCATGGGCCAGATCTAAGCACCTCGCAGGCTGAATCCGGCCCCTGGTCCTTGAGTTTGACACCCCTGTTACAAAGCATCCCTCTTATCATTTGAGTCTCTTTTTGGTCTTTCACCTATCAGCATTTCTAGGGAAGAGAATTTGATAGAGATGTTTAAAAAAAGAAACCACAAATAATAGTACAGTGTTCTGCTTACTCAGAGTAGGGTGTATCTTACCTATTTTTACTTAAGAGATTTATATACCGGTAGTCACCCATCTTACCCATGAGATGGAGGAAGTCATGACATCACTACACAAACTCTACATTTGCTAGCTCATTGCCATCCCAATCAATGCTTGGGGAAAGAGCTAGGTCTTTATGGCCTTCCAGAAAGCTAAGAGGGTAGCAGTTCTTCAAGTGTCAGTGAGGAAACTGTTTTAAATTGTTGGGGAAGATATGGAGAAGGCATACCTTTTAGGACCCTCCTGGTAACCACATTTTTAAGAGGGTCTGGAGCATGCTCACCCCATCAAACCAGTTGTCTCTTACCCTAGGTAAGAGACAGTCCTGCAAATAATCTTATCTTATATCATTCAGGGTTTTAAAAATGACAACCAGCATTTTGAATTCTACGTGGAAAGAAAGTGGAAGCGGTGTAACTCTCAAAGCAATGTAACATGGGCAAATCATGGAGTGCATAGGACTGTGCATACTGCTGCATTCTGGATCAGTTGTAGAGCACCTTGAGTAATCCAGTGGAGAAGTACCTGAAACATGAGGGATTGTGAGCAAGTCCTTGCAGTCCAGTGCAGAAGATGACTGCACTTCACAAAGAGCCTTCTAGCAATGAATGACACCTGCTCTTTGGGCAAGAGCATAGTCCAGGAATACCCCCAAATTGTTTATCAATTTTCTCTAGGAGAATACTACCCTGTCAAGGGTCAAAAATGACAATTTATGGTAGGGCAAAAATCCAAAACCACTCCATCTTTCTGAGGTTGAGTCCAAGCCAATATTTTCCCATCCAGGCCTTTATGCCTCAAGTGACTGGGCAAGCACCTGAAACAGCGCCAACTGTCTGATGAGGAGTGGAAATATGTAACAGAGTGTCATCACATGCTGATGATACTCTTCCTCATGGTATCTGCTTACTTTACCTAGTGGCTTCAGGTAGATATTTAAAAAGTTAGAGATATGAGCCAGCAGAACTATAGATAACAGGAATTTGAGTCTAGGCTTCTCGCCAACTACCAACCGTAACTGGAACTAGCCATGGAGAAAGGAGAACTACTAGAAAAAGAAAGACACTCCCAATCCTCAAAGTAGTTCCAGAAAGATACCATGCCCAGAAAGTGATCTTCCAGCACCAGATCATATTACCACTAACCCAAGACAAAAAGATGATGAGCTGTATGACTTGTGATTGGATCACAACAATGACATATTTACAGTAGAGCAATGCTGACGTTCATGAAGTGCAGTGGTGGGTTGCAGGCGGTATGCCCCAGTACGGGCGTACCGGAGCTTGCTTGGAGCGCCAGGTACCATTCTGATACAGTGCTCCGGAGGGCCCACCCACCCAAGCTCCTTGCCTGTCCTTTAAGCCTTTGGCGCTTACGCACATGGCACATACAGCGCCTGTGCGATGTTCTGCCCAGCAGCTGGAGCATTGCGGAGGCTTGCGGAAGCGTCGCAGGCAAGTACAGTGCATGCGCACGTCCATGTGGGTGACACTGGGCCCGTTCCAACTGTACCGTACTGTACCGTACCGGTTGGAACGGGATCCAGAACCAACCACTGTTGCAGTGTTAGAGACAGTTTAGAGGAAATGCAAGCTGCCTATCCGTTTTTTCAGATGCCTGTAAAAAAGTATTTGCCTATTTCTGGTTCCTGAAGACTTGTTGGGAAACTTGTATTGCTTCCCCATGGTGGGAGAAAAGCTGACAGTGTTTACTTTGGAAAGTTCATGTATTTTAGTAATATTTCCTTATCAAAAACATTTTAGCCAATGTTTTAAAAGCAATTATACAAAAGTTGAAAACACCAGAGATTTTAATTGTATGTTTTGTACAATTATGTCTTTGTTTGAAAGTTTACCCTTTTATTGTTGTATAACTTCATAATTTTGAGATATATTAATATATTTGATAAGCATTTTTATGTAATGCAGAATAAGTCCTCAACTGATATTTCAGAACCTGAGCCAAAAAAATTTGATGGGACTGGATATGATAAAGACTTAGTAGAAGCTCTAGAAAAAGATATCATTTCCCAAAATCCCAATGTTCGATGGTAAGTATAAACTGTCTCTATTCTTTTAAGTTGTGACGTCTGTCTATAAGCTTCATGGATTTTTAGATAAATTCATACATCCATTCAATTTCTATTGCCACTCATCTCAGTCAATGATTCTGAGTAGCTTACAATTGAAATTTCAATTATAACTTGAAATACATAATGATGCCTCTAGAGAAAATTAAATCTGGCTATAATTAATTTGAGACAGTAATGTATGAAAATGAGGAAGTAGACCTTGCTCACTGAGACATCTTACTGGGATTTTACAAACTTTTGCATCTCATTTGGAAACCAAGGACCCAGAGTATGGAAGAACAATGGAGAGGCCAATCAAGCTCAGTAATCCCACGGTCATTGAACCAGGTTTTGGTGCTTTTGGCAAAAGTTGCTCTCATCAGAAAA